ACGTTGCGTGTGTTAGCACACAGGAACACACACGTTGCGTGTGTTAGTACACAGGAATACATACCTTGCGTGTGTTTTAGCACACTGGAACACACGTTCTGTGTTTTTAGCACACAGGAACACACACTTTGCGTGTTTTAGCACACAGGAACACACACAACGTGTGTGTTTTAGCACACAGGAACACACACGTTGCGTGTTTTAGCACACAGGAACACACACGTTGCACGTTGTGTGTGTTCCTGTGTTAGCACACAGGAACACACACGTTGCGTGTGTTAGCTCACAGGAACACACACAACGTGTGTGTTTTAGCACACAGGAACACACACGTTGCGTGTGTTTTAGCACACAGGAACACACACGTTGCGTGTGTTAGCTCACAGGAACACACTCGTTGCGTGTGTTAGCACACAGGAACACACTCGTTGCGTGTGTTAGCTCACAGGAACACACTCGTTGCGTGTGTTTTAGCACACAGGAACACACTCGTTGCGTGTGTTAGCTCACAGGAACACACACAACGTGTGTGTTTTAGCTCACAGGAACACACACGTTGCGTGTGTTTTAGCACACAGGAACACACTCGTTGCGTGTGTTAGCTCACAGGAACACACTCGTTGCGTGTGTTAGCACACAGGAACACACTCGTTGCGTGTGTTAGCTCACAGGAACACACACGTTGCGTGTGTTAGCACGCAGGAATGAGACTAAGTAAATAAAGGTTGAATTGACAAGTTCAGTAAAATGTAACGAATAAGCCAAGATCAATTAACAGAACCCAAAGTTAAATCCTTTAAAACTAAAATGTCCCCTTGAAACTCAGTACAAGAATGTTCTTCTTTCAGCTGCTCCTTCTTCAGGGTCACCACAGAGAACTAAGACCTGGCCACTGATTTTACTCCAGATGTTCTTCATGACTCAACCTCAGACACTGAGCCTCGGTGTGGAGCAGAGCTGCAGAGGGTGGGGGTTATTGTGCTTATTGTTTTTATACCATCAGTGCTTCGTGTATATTCAGTTGATGTTTGTCTTAGTTCATATCTTTGATCTTATTACAGATTTCCTTCTACTTTTTATTGTTGGATGTAACTGGGACCCTGATGTGGTGCGAATGACAATCAAAAACTCTCTGAATTAAAGTCAACTCTGACATGACGAGGGCTTTGAAACACTTTCATTAAAGGAGACCAACACTCTGGACCCCTAAGACCCCCTCCTGCTAATAGTCCAGCCTGGTATGGATGGATGATGATGGATGATGATGGATGATGATGGATGGATGATGGATAGGAGTCATCCCTGCAGGTCATCATGTTGATATGTCTGAAATGTTGAGGGGGTGAATCCTAAATGATCAGGACTCAGAGGATCCTGCAGGACTCAGAGGATCCTGCTGGACTCAGAGGATCCTGCTGGACTCAGA